TATTTTTTTTTTTAATTAATAGACCATTTCTTGAGTAGTTTTAGGTTTACAGAAAAATGAGTGAAAAGTGTCAGAGAGTTCCCATATACCCCCAATTCCCGCCTCCTACCCTTTCTCCTATTATAGGGAGGCGCATTGGCTACAATTGAGGAGCTAACGTTAATATATTATTAGCTAAACTTCATAGTTTATCCACGTTTTTTGTGTTGTACAGTCTATGTATTTGAACAAATGCCTAATGACATGTATCCACCATTATAGCGTCACACATAGTTCCACCGCCCTAAAAATCCCTCCTGTTCTACCTGTTCCTCTCCCTCCCCTGCCCCATCTCCTGGCCTAAGTGCTGGCGATCCAGCTGGGACAAACTTAAAGCTTCTGTCTTCGTGGACCTGACATTCTAGTGGGAGAGATAGACAGTAAACAGGCAAATGACACATAAGTTCAGGAGATAAGAGTATTTGGGAGGGAAGTGGGGCCTCTTCTTTAGCCAGCGTGGCCAGAAGAGGCCTCTTTGAGGAGAGGACACTGGATCAGGCCCTGCCTGTCTGTGAATGGCCACAGATACTGCTGGGAGCCCTGAGCCCAGAGACCTCTGTTCCTGAGAGGCAGACCAGAGTGTGAGGCCCAGAAAGACACCCTGACCCCTCCCAGCCAGGAGAAGGGTTATGGCTGGATAACATTCCCCCTAAATTCATATATGGAAGTCCTAACCCCTAGTACCTCAAGATGGGACGGCATTTAGAGAAAGAGGTAGTTCAGTTAAAATGAGGTCCTATTGGGTGGTCCTAATCCAGTATGACTGACGTCCTTACAGAGAGAGGAAATAAGCACACAGATGTGCACAGTGGGGAGATGGCCATCCACACGGCAAGGAGAGGCCTCAGGAGGAAACCAGTCCCGCCAATACCTTGGTCTTGGACTTGTAGTCTCCAGAGCTGTGAGGAGCTAAGTGTCTGTTGTTCAGGCCGCCCAGTCTGTGGTACTCGGTTGTGGTAGCCCTGGCAACTAACGCAGGAGGTGAGAAACCCACCCTTCACTCCCTGGCTCTCCCATCCCACTCAGAACTGAGGCATTAGTGAGGGTGGTCTGCTGTGACCCAGACAACTTGGGTACAAAAGTCTGCATTGCTGTGGCCTTATCCTTCTGGGGGTAGAGGACCTGTCCTCTCTTTTCTGGTCAGTCAGTTGCTGCTGGTTGTGGTGGCCACTTACCAAGGACCCACCAGGCATCAGGCATGACCAGAACAGCCCTGAGATTAAGAGCACAGAAATCTGACAGGAGTCTGACAGACAGACGGGGATCAAGAACCCCCTCTTCCTTCCATTTCCTTCCTTCCTTCCTTCCTTCCTTCCTTCCTTCCTTCCTTCCTTCCTTCCAGCTGTGCGACCTTGAGGGGGTGATTTCACCTCCACAGGCTTCAGTTTCCATATGTGTCAAATGAAGGGAAGTGATGGCTTTAGCCTCCTGTGGCTGTTGGGGCCAAATGAGCGAATGGGAAGTGCTCGGCGTGATGCCTGCCACAGAGACGAGGTTAGCCGCTCTTCTGTTCCACGTAGCAGTCATCCTTCAGCAAGCCTGGGATGGAGGAAGGATTCTCACTTCATGGCAAGGAAGCTGACCTGAGGGAACCTAATGCTGATCAGCTCGTCCATCCACAACCTTGAAGACAGAGCCAAGCAGGGGCCAAAAATCCTCCTGTGGAACCACTGGTATAGTCGGCCGTGGCACTGATGTCACTGGGGTCAAGGCTGTGGATGCTGGCCTTGTACATAAGCCTTAAACATCCTAATCCTACTGCTTCTCCACCACTAGCCCCTCGAGGCAGCAGTATTGGCCCTGGAAAAGCTCAAGCACAGACTTTTCTGTGGCATTTCCAGCTTTTTTTCTACTTCCATTTTTAACTCACCTTGGTCCACTCCTCTGGAAAATTTAGATTCAGTGATTTTTCAAGGCTCCCAGCAGCAGAACCGTCCTGGGCTTCTGCCTCAAAATGCCATGTTATCCCATGGTGATGGTCACACTTGACAAAAGCTGGTATATTGATCATGCATCTCCTGTGTTGGGTACTTTTCAAATGTCGCCTCCTTTTACAGCAGACAAAGGGCCTTTTTGGTGGGCAGTATTGTTCCTATTTTACAGATGAGAAAACTGAGGTCCAGGAATGTGCCATGACATGTTCAGGGTCTCTGAACTCAGGTCTGTGTGTGTTCAATACCTGTACCTCCGGCACCCCTGCAGGTACCTCACAGCTTGAGTTTTAGGTGTTTTATTTTATTTTTAGCCAAACATTGTTTTGTCTGGGCTACAATTCAATTCAGGTTTATGGAAAAAATAACATTCATAACGACACAGGCAAACTTCATGTTTTAGCATCAAGCTTAGTGCCTGGAGCATGATCTTTACCAATCTCACTTTTCCTTTTCCTCTTCATTATAGGGAAAGTCCCTGTGCCATGAGCATTTGCTTTAATATCCCACAAAAAGAACCTGGAGGCAGCTGCCTTTCTCCAGCTGTCCTTTAAAATGGGGGGAGCGAGGAACAGAGACATTATTGAGGCTGGGGGCTGGAATTTAAGGGCAAGCTGAAATCTTGGAGAGGTTACCTGTGCTGATTTTCTCTCGACATTGAAAAGCCTGTCAGAAAGATGTTAATCGTCAAGCTTCCCAGAGCTCAGAGGAGCTTCCCAGAATGCACTGCAGGAGAGGAGGACAAAGGCAAAATAGACAAGGTGGCCTGGACCCAATTATCTTTGTTCTGCATGTGGCTTCAAATCGGGGGTTGCGGCAGCCTGGGAACAGATACATGGGAGAACATTTTGTACACTACATTGTGCAATAAGGAAGAGACCAGAAGTCCTGGATTCAGGCTCAGCTCTGCTGCGGGCTACCTGTGTGACCAGGAGGAAGTTGCTTATCTGGGTCCAAAGTCCCAGTTGCAAAGAAATGGTTGAACACTAGACTCCCTCGTTGTTCCACTGGGGTCCCACGAAGATGACCTTGGCCAATAGGACACATCCTTTTGTTTCCTAGGAACACACCCTGAACAGCAGCAGTGATAATAAATGACAAAAGGAGCTCGTGTTTGTGGGCCAAGCATTGTCAAAATGTTTTGCATAGCTTGTCTCACTTGTGTCCCCATAGATGCGAGAACTGGGTACTTTTTTGGATCCTCACACTAAAGATGAGGATAGTGTGGCTCAGAGAGGCTAAGGGATTTGCTTACATCTCAGAGGCTGGCAAGTAGCAGATCTAGATCAAACCAGGCACTTCCTTTTAAGTGAAGTTTCAAGGAGCAACATTAGCCCCTCGCCCTGGGGTCTCCAGCAAGCCAAAGCCTGACCTCCCTCAACTGAGCGTCCCTGGCTTAGGCAGGCACTGCTGGAGTGTAGCCGGATCTGGTTAGAGAGGCCCCGGTTGGGGCTGGTCAGTCAGCCAGAAACCTGAGCTGCTCCCGGACCTGTCTCCAAGGTTGTTGGAAGATAGCGTGCGGCTTGGGGATTGGTTCACAGTATTCTAGCTCTTCCCTGGTAGGCGAAGTGGCCTTTACCCTGTGTTAATGACGTCATCTCAGGTCAATGCCAGGGAGAACCACTGGGGCACTCTAGGGGGGAGGGGGCGGTGCTGAGCAGCACCCCCACTCCTTCTCATCCTCTTCCCTTGGTCCATTTGGTTGACCCACCACCTGCTTCAGGTTGGCACAGCAGAAATTTCAGGCGGGAGGAAGGCCCAGGAGTGGAGTCAGTTTCATTCCTACATGTACATTACTTGCGAGCCCAAACCACAGCCTGCCTGAGAATTCCAGGCCACACTCCCAGAAGCTGTTCTGATCGAATATTCATGGACACTGATGGGTTGTCATCATCATGAATCCCACGATCTGCATTTATTGCTTTGGCACTATTTTATGAGAGTTATTTCCCCCCTCTGCTCTGTGCTGCATTTTCAACACCCTCCAAGAAAATCCAGCTCAGAGCAACTTAAACATCTGTGGCTTATCAAAATTGTGCTCAGGCTTCAGTTTGGGAGAAGGACGATAGCTAAAAATTAATTTATGTATCAGGCATTGATAACGGGGTGGGAACCACTAAAATCTTTGTTTGTAGATATGCAGGGTATGGTAGCAAGAATCTTCTAATCAGAGACCTGGCTTTTGAGTCCCAAACTGCCCTTTGCAACAACATGATAATAATAGCTTACAAGTAGTCAGGGTTTATCACATGCCAGACAAAGAACTCACAGGACAAATCTGTGAGCTAGATGCTATTACTGTCACCTCCATTTTTCAGATAAGGAAACTGAGGCACAGAGAAGTTAAGTAAATTGCCCAAGTTCTCATAATTGCAAAAGGCAATTTGTAAGCTCAGTTCTCCTTAATTATCATCCCCAAAATAAGCGATGGTAATTCCCAATTTATCAATACTTAGGAAGATTAGATTCTGTAAGGGAGGAGGAGTGCTTAGCACATAGAACACTCACTTCCATTCCTCCCTCCCTCCTCCTTTCTTTCTAATATTGATCAAAGGCTGCAGTTGGGTCAAGTCTAGTGCTGGGTCCTGGAGGGATAGTTCGAACAGCCCATGTCCTTTACTCTCTCGAGACCTCAAGCCTGCCGTTTTACAGGGAGGTGGGCAAAAACAATGATCCTAGAATCATCTCATTCCCCTGGGGTACCAGGGGAGGTTTATTTATTATTTCCTCTGATATGGCTTCTGCCTCCTCCCTGATTCTGGAGAGAGCAGTGATTCTTATTGGCAGGTGGAATCAGAGCAACTTTGTCATCTATTACACTTTCCTTGGTATGTTATGTGCTCAAAACACTGACCCAGGCAGAGGCCCAGAGAAGTAGAAATATTTACCCAAGGTCACACAGGGAGTAAGCAACTAAGCCAGGATTTGAATAAGATGTATCTGACCCAAACCCCACAGAAAGGCAGCAGCATTCTAAACGTAGGCAACTGTGATGGGTTCTAAGTCCCTACTCTGAGCTTATATCTCCAGCCTGCCATTAGTGTGCAACGGTCTCTAGCGTTGGACCCAACATTGGGTACAACATTCCCAAAATGGCGGTCTCTCTTTTCAACACCACTCTGGGAAATGTTTGGCATTGTGACTCTCTCCTCCCTCAAGATCCCCTATTCCTTTGACCTTCTTGTTAGAAAGGGTGGTGAGTTATCTTGCTTTCCCTGTGGATGTGCTACCCTTTATCAAAGTCCCCTGTTAAGCAAGATGCCTGAAGTCAAATGGGCCACTGTAGAGGAGGGCTGAAGTGCAAGGAGGAGCCGCCTTCTCAGCTTCCATACTGAGTACTTGCTCTGTCTGCTTTCCTGCTGGGCACACCTAAAACAGCATGATCTTTGAGTCAGCTAGAATCAGGCAAGGATGCACAGGCACCAATGTGCACTGAACACCTCCTAGATTCCAGGCTCGGTTCACATGTGGCTGTGCTTTGAACCTTCACCACTCTTCTCCAAGGCAGGTCTTATTAGCTCCATTTTTCAGATGAGGCAACTGGGGCTTAGAGAGGGTCTATACTTAGAAGCACAGAACTAAGTACAATCCCTTGATCTTGTGCCCATGTGATCAAGTTTTGAGCCACAATAGGCAAGACCTGTGACTACCCCTATGAACATCATGTGATTAGATTCAGTCTCTTACACATGCCATTTACAATATTTTGGGGTTCCTAGTGTTTCAGGACCCAGGGCTGTGCTATGACCCCTACCTCTGTAAATTCCCCTGAACATGATCATCATGACATTCATGAACGTCATGAATAGGACACTGTTGAGTTCAGAGTCCTGAAGGCTCCATTGGAGACCTACCCATTCCAGCCTCTACCATCTCACTGACCAAAATTCTTAAGAGTCATGGCCCAAGGACAGTAAGGAATCCAGCAAACATGCCCTCATCCTCCTCAGACTTCTACAGCTTGTCCGAACGCACATTGTATAAGACCACTATGGTGGGCACGGGTCGTTTCTAACTTGCAGCTCTTCTTTTGTGATTAGCATATTTATTTTCCATTGAGGAATATGGCAGATTGGAACACCACTTCTAATTCTTCATTCCCACATAACAGGATTATCCATCATAACCATTACCTCTTGGGTTTGCAATGCTTCTCAATAGATCAGCTGGAGATTATCTCCTTATGGCGTTGTTGTTGAACTTAGTCAAGACACTTGCATTGACCACTGGGAGGTGGGTGGGCATGAGGTGAGCAGAGGCTCTAAATGTGCTTTTGTGGTTCAGTCTTGTGTCCTCCTGTTATCTGAGATGAGAAAAGCACATCTTCTGGTCCACAGGGGATGAGGAGCACATGGCACAGACCCAACTCGACCCGCAGCCTGGAGCCAAGCCCAGGCAGCCCCAGCAGGAGCACGATTTATCCTCAGAATCATGAGCAAGAAAAAAAATGCTTGTTAGTGTAAGCCACTGGGTTTGGTGGTTGTTACACAGAATTAGTGCAGTAATTGCCAATTTCTACACAGAAGCATCCCCCTTCCACTTGCACTTGTTTGCTGGGCTTGACATCACTCAAGGAGGAGACTGTGACCCAGCTGCAGTCAGTAGGTGAGTCTGTGCTGGTGGCTCTCCATTTGCCAACCCCCCCACCACCTACTCTCTGCCCACCTCCTGCGTGCTCCAAGCTCAGGGCCCCTTCCTCATTTGTGGTCTCTCGTGGACTGGTAACACTATTATTTTTCCTTGCTCCCCAGGCCAGTCAGCAGCTAGAGACTCTCCCCATGCCCGTACCAGCTGCCTCAGTGCCCCCGTTGGCTCCCCAACTCATTCCACATCCCTGTGAACCGACCTTGAATCCCAACACCCCCCCCCACCGCATGTCCCCTCTACTTCCAGCTAGGATTTGGCCCAATCCAGTGCGATGTTCCTAGATGCTCTTTGGGCAAGTTACTTAAACGTATTTTTTTTCCCCCAATTGACAAAATCAGGATTATACTGTTGTGAGAGAGATATCGGATCATGCACTGTCAATGCCTTGCCTTGCACTTAACCCGGGGAGGTTACAATACAGGTTAATTCTCCCTGCGCTGCTTGCTATGAACAGCATCTAATGTAGTTCCGGGCACACACTGAAGCTTTAATAAATATTTGTAGTTTGAAAATCCCTATGGTAGATTTTCTTCCTTTGACCTTTTGCTTGTTTTCCCTCTTGAAATAGCAGAATAAGGCCCCTAGTGCCATGGTGACTGTCTCTATAGAAATCCATAGCTTGTTCCGAGCACACCTACGGATGCCAGTGGGAGGCTGGCATAGATTTAGACCAATAGAGAGAAGGCATGCTTAGCCTTGTCCTGGTTACAAAGAACATTTTTTTTTTCTTTCAAATGGACCTTCCTGTCCCCGATTCAGCATCACCTAGCTCTCCCCTAATGTGGGTTAATTTTTCAGCAGCTCCTAGAAAGAGTATATTTCCAGTCTCTCCTGGGACAGACAGAGGAGTTTCAAGCAGGGTAAAGCCAAGTTTTGGTGGAGAATATTTGGAGCCTGCTAAAGAGGCAGGCTGCTCTAATGGCATTTGTGCCAGGAGCGGGGCGGGGGTGTTGGGGGTGGGACTGTGTTTGGTTGGAACAGGTAATCCTTCTGGGCACTGTAATCTGAGGTTAGAAACAGGCTTGTGTTGCAACCAGAAATCCCTGCTGTTCTGGCCTTTTCTTTTGTCAGGCTTGCCGGACAGCTTGGGAATATATTGGTTTGGGAATGAGGGTCCTTTACTGAAACCAAGGAGGGCCTCTGTCCCTTTAAGAGGGTCCTTAAAGAGGGACAGTCGGAGAATCAGAGATGAAGGCCAGATGGCCAGTAAACAGGACGGCAGTGAGTTAGGGAGACGACCAGCTGGGCTGTCTGCTTTAGTCACCTTGTGGTGGTGAAGACTTTGGTCAGTGGCTGCAGTTGGAGATCTGGTGAGGGTTGGACACCCTGATCCACGGCTCTCTGAATAGTCTAACTGGCCCCACCTCCTCAGAGTTCTAGACCCAGGAAGCAGTGGGAAGCCATAGAAGTATGGGCTGTGAGGCCAGATAGGTCTGGATTCAAAGCCTAGCTCTGCTCCCTGGACAGTGATATAATCTGTCTGGACTTCATTTCCTCATCTGCAAAATGGGATGAAAATCCCATCTCCCAGGTACACTGTGAGGTGAGTACAGATAATATGAGTTGAGTTCAGTGCCTGGGGAAAAGGAGGTACCCAAGGAATCTTGGTCTCCCCCCTCTACTCTGGAGAGCATATTAATAACTTTTTAATAAGAAGGGCATAACAAGAAGTGAAAATCTCTGAGAGTCTGGAGTCTTGGCAATTTGAAAACGAAATCCCCAAATCCTGCTTATTCAATAGCTTACTGAGAATGTGAGTATATCACTTAGGACTAGTATCCGCTATCTGTAACAGAAAACCCAGATTATGGTGCCTTAAAAAAGATAAGGATTTACTTTTCTCTTGTACAAAAGCAGTTCTGATGCAAATAGTCAAGGACTGGCTCCCGGGTGATCCCCTCCAAGGAGCCGAGACTCCTTCTATCTGTGTTCTGCTATCCTTAGAATGTAGTTTACATCACTGAGGTCATTGTGTGGCCTTAGAATGCTGCTCAGCTTCAGCCATTAGGCCACATTCCAGGCACAGAAAGGAAAAGGAGAAGTTTAAGAGTGTTTACCTCTTAGATGAGTCAGCACTTAAAAAAAAAAAAAATGACAAAAAGGTCCACCCGGTGACTTTCAGCTTATTGGTCACCCCCTAAAGCAAGGGAGGCTGGGAAATGTACTGGGCGGGTAGACACTCCCAATAGGAGAATGTCGTCCCTGCCATATGTAGCCAGTACCGCAGCTTCTTTCCTTTCACGGGGCAGGTCTGCCTGGACCAACATCGAGAGTATTTTCCCCGGGAACAAGAACGCATCTTGGTTTTCTGCCTTCTCTACCATCGGTTCTCACCCAGCAGACCAGCTATTTCTGGAAAGGCCACTCACTGGTTGAGAGTGATATCAGAGGGTTGTGGTAGACAGCTGACTTCACAAGCAGAGATCCTGGCTGCATGTCTTACTGGCCGGCTGTCCCTGGGTGGGTTACTTAACTGCACTCCTTCAGAGAGCACGGATTCCTATAAGCACCAGTGAGATGCATAAGGCAGGACCTCCAGCAAGGGCCTGGTGCTAAACGGGTTGTAAGCAAAGGTGACCCTGTCCTGCCCCTTGCAACCTCCCATTGCCCACCCACACGCTGATGTTAGTAAATCAGACACATCCAACTGTTAGTAAATCTTACACCCAACTTCAGATGGTACATAGGTCTTATGAGCCAGAAAGGTTCAGAATCAGAAACCCAGCTGGCTAACATGTAGGTCCCAGGTTGAACACTTTCATGGAACATCCGAAAACCCTAAGAATAACCACCACAATCTAAATTATTCCACATTATCTCATACCTCCCTACTTGATTAGCTGCGTCGGTTATCTACAGCTGTAGATGGCCCCGAGACTCAGTGGCTTAGAAAACAACACAGGTTTACGACGTCACAGTCTCTGTGGGTTGGGAATCTGGGTGTGGCTCGGCTGCATCTTCCAGCTCAGTGTCTCTCAGGAGACTGCCATCATCTGGGTGGCAGTCATCTCGAGGTTCCTCTCAGGGTGACTCGGCTTCTGAGCTCACTCATGCAGCTCTTGGCAGGAGTCATGTCATGACTGGCTGTTGGCTGGAGGCTCCCTCAGTTTCTTGCCACATGGGTTTCTCTGTGGTGTGGCTCACAACATGGCGGCTCGCTTCCTCAGGACCAACCAGTGAGAAAGCCAGAGATGGAGTGTGAGCAAAAAGGAAGTCTTTGATAAGCTGCTCTCAGAAGAGGCATACCATTGCTATTTTAGTCTATTCTAGAAGCAAGTCATTAGGACCAGCCCAAGCTCAAGGGGAAGGAGGGGGCCATTTTAGAGGAACCAATCAAGGTACTGTTGTAGGAAACTAAGAAATATCCAAGCCCTTATCGCCTAGATGCCACGTGGCCACTTCTGCTCTTTGGGCCTTCCTGCTTCCCTGTGACTGCCTCTTCCCTTCTGCTCAGAGACCCCACAGACCCCAAAGACCCTGGGACTTTGCTCCTGCCCCACACCTGGCCCTGCAAACCAAGCGCGCAGGCCTCCCACAGAGTGTGGGCCCGCTTGTCACTCCCTCTCACAGCCCTTTGCACATCACTTCCGGGAACATTCTTCTGTCTGCAGGAGGGAAGGAACACCTTGCTTTGCTCATGATTGCCTTCCTCCACATGTTTTTGGCTAAACCATGAATTCTTTCTACTCTTCTCAGAATCTGGTCTTGGAAGCTCAAAAGGCAAGGAAGACTCCTGAGCCAGTGTGATATGGGACACCGGAGGGTGTGGAGGCCCAGAGGAGACACCCCATCTGGGCTGACCATCTGGGAAGGATGGGCCTGGGAGGCCAGAGCTGAGCTGAGGGATGAGTGGAGTTCCGTAAACGAGGAGAGGGCATCCTTCTCCAGCCGAGAGACATCCTGTTCAGAGCGGGGAGGTCTGGAGGCCGGCCTCTGAGTGGCTGCCCTGTGTCTGTGGGTGTGGGATGGGGAACGCCACAAGTCATGTCTCCGGAGTAGCTACAGATAAGGTTGGAGAAACAAGCGGGGGTCCGGTAACGAAAGTTCTTGGATGTCAGGCCCAGGCATTCAGATTTTGTCTTCAGGAAATGTAGATCCATGGGAGTATTTTTAAACACGCAGTGATGTGGCCAGCTTTGTACATCAGAATGTTCTCTCTGAGCCAAGGTGGAGGGCATGCTGGAGCCAGCATGCGAGTGAGGAGCCCGCTGTGGCCGCCTGGGCATGGAAAAACAGGGCTGCAGTGGGAAGACGGAGATGGGGTGCAGGGGGCAGATTCCCCTTGCTTGGTATCTGATGGGCTGTGGAGGCACGGAGAGTTAAGAGTCAAGGACAACTCCGGGGCCTCTGATGGTTGCTATTTCCTGAGCTGACAGGACAGCAGCCCCAATAGAGAAAGGTCAGAGAGGAGGCAAGAGTTAGTTTAGTCTGAAGTCCAGGATTCTGTGGAGACGGGACCTTTTGGTCGTCTGGTTTGGAACCTCAGCGGAAGACTCTGGAGCAGAAAAACCCACATCAGAAGTGCGCGAAAGAGGCAGCCTGAAAACTCTAGTACTTTCTAACAGTTGCTACCGACTGTGGTCAACGAGGCAGTTTCAACAGCAGATGACCATAAAATGCAGACGACCATGACCCAGATAAAGCCACATCAGGACTCATTGAGGAAGAGAGGTCAAGGGGTGCTTCCAAGGGCTCAGCTCTCCCATCAGGGACCCAGACGTCATTTGCTTTCTGCTCCACCCCGCTCTGGACGTTTGGTCTCCAAGTCAATCCCTCTTGCCAGCAGATGCACGCCGCATCCTAGATTTCAGGGTTTCCGAGAACTAGACCAGTGTTCCAGGAAACAGGACATGTTTCCCAGCTCAGCCAGGATGTCGGCATTGGCACTTGAAATGGCATTTCTTTCTCATTCCTGTGTGAGCAAAGTGTGGTGTGTCTCCGCAGCATTTCAGGAGGACTGTAAACTGTTTGGGAGGTGACAGGGACCCAAGGGAAGAGTGTCACCATTGGGGCCAAACAGACCTGAATCCTGGCCTTTCTGTGAATGTTGAGTAGGTCACTTCTCTCTCTGAATGTCTCTTTCAGCATCTCTGAAACGGAGACCATCAAGGGCTGTGAGTGTTCAGGGACATAACTCTTATGGAGTGCCTGGCACAGTTCTGGGCACGAAGTCGCCTTCCCTTAACCACCTCAGCGCCCACACTTCCCCACTCACCTTAATCCACACGAGGGTATGACGCCATTTTAAAGAACACCCCAGGAAAACACCTAGTCCAGCCCCATGAAATGACCTGCTGGTGGTAGAATTTTGTGCCGATGCTGAGTGGGACAGGGGTTTGAGATGACAAGGACAGGGGAAATCTGGGCTGCTTGATATATATATATATATGGCTTAGATCCACTCAGATCACATGGGGCTCTCCCAATGAATAGAGTCCTAACTGGGAAGCAAGAGAGTGATTTAAAAAAAAAAAAAATGCTACCTGTGTCACGTTAGAGTTCAAGCCAGCAGAAACAGAGCCTCCCTCGCCCTCAGATGCCTCTGTTCTGCTCGTTAACTTGGCAAAGCTGTGAGTAAGCTTGGAGCCTACTTGCAGGGGGACACCGACTGCCTGGTGTGCCTGATGAGTCACCGCCGCCTGCCCTGGTCCCCTGCCTGCCAGGTGGCCACTATCTTTGGACATTTTTGTTTTCCTTTGTGGAGAAGGATAATTATGGCCTCCATGCCCTGTGACTGTATCCATTCTGCCAGCCCAGACAGAGGCAGAGATCTTTCACAAAACCCTCTTTTTTTTTTTTTTTTAAAGGGAAAGGGGGGGGGGGGATCGGGGGGATTTGAGCAAGTCTGAGGTGTGGAGAAGCGTGGATGGTGCAAATATAAGAACCTTTCAGGATTTGCAAAATGTTTATGCCACCAAGTACTGCCCAGTGTGGTCGTTGCGTCAAGTGGCTTAATTGGCCTATAGATTGGTTGAGTTTTTTTTTTTTTTATTTTTTCCTTTTCTTTTCTGTCTTTTCTTTTCCTTTCCTTTCCTTTCTTTTCCTTCCTTCCTTCCTTCCTTTCTTAGGAGGCTCCATGCTGGGCTTGAACTCACGACCCTGAGGTCAAGACCAAGCTGATAGCAAGGGTCATGGACTTAATCATCTGAGCCACCCAGACACCCCCAGGTTGCTTTTTAAAACCCAGGAAATTGTACCAATGCAAGATTGGACGAATTCAGGATGGGGCTGGGTGGTTTACACGGACACAGAAGAAAAACATCTGGGGGCAGAATGGCTTCAAATAGAAAATGGTCAGGTGATCAGGGAGATAAATGGATGGATGGGTGGATGTTATTGGGAGGGAGCAAGGGGAAATGCAGACATCAGAGCTTTTGGAATTTGTAGGCGGAAAATGCAACCCTGTGGGCGTATGTAAGGTGCTCTCAATGGAGGCTGGAGGCTGAGAAGTCAACCCAGGACGGAAGATAAAATGTGATTCAGTCTAAAGAGTTACTCTGCACCTTGAGAAGGCGGGGTTGGCTGTAGGAGTCATCAGGTGACTTGTGTCACTGGTGGAAAATATGTATGAAGTCTACAGCGGTTGGACTCTGAGCGTGCCTTTAGCAGTCATACTCCTTTTTGAATTGCCACCCCGGGAAGTAACTTTGGGGAAATTATTTAACTTCCCTGGATCTCTGTTTCCTCATCTACAAACAGAGAGGATGGGATGAAGGTTCACGGCGAGGACGAAATGAAGTGATCCAGCTAGGGCATGTAGTTAGTGGTTGTGATGACATTTTCATGTCTTACTTTTCTCAACACACTTGAATTGTGAGGGAGGGCAATTACTTCGTGCCAGGCCCATGCTATACACTAAGGATACTGACTTGTTTGACTCATTTCCCGAATATTCGCTGAGTGCCTACTATGCACCTGGCAGACACTGCTGTGTCCTGGAGGA